AGGTGTATGTGGCTGGAGCCTTAGCCACTTGAGCCACAGGCACTGAGCCTATAGCAATTGTTTTCATTTTATTTTAAAGTATCCCACAATGCTTTATCATCTCTTGCATTACTGTTTTTATTTTTTTTTTGTCTAGTTCATCTTCTATCCTTGTTGTATCATTTAAAGAATAAAGTCTCTAAAGCCTTTTTACCGACTAGACATTGACTATTTGTCTCAACAGCATTTCAAGACCAAAGGATAGATTTTCTGTGACACTTTCTTCCTACCACTTCCCACGATATAATCGAGGAGATTATTTTGATACAACACTTCATAAATAAGTAAGACCTAGCTGATTTGAGATCATCTTATATTTGTCCAGTTTCTCTGCTTTGACTGTTAATTACCTTGGCATATTATTCCAACTTCAGTAAGGTTGCTTTTTCATTCCCATTATTACTTATCTTAATATTATTATATTTTTTATGGTGTTAGTCTATGTCTCTGCTCTTTTATTTTCCTATACTTTTCCAGAGTTGTTTCTGACAGTCTTGTTTTTAAATCCAAACTTCCATAAACGTTGGTATACACATCTGACTGCTTCATTATTTCATTATGTCCCCAAACATTTACATACTGTTATTAATTTTAATAATTAATTTTTTAAAATATGTATTTTAAAATAAATTAATTTTTATTTATTTGCTTCTGAAAGTTCTGTGTAGGTGGGTCATATCACCTCTGTAGTCCATTTCTGATGGTAAAGGAAGCATCATAAAACATGTGTGATTAGAGGAGGAGGATGTGTCTGATAAAGACTGAGACCTTCTGTTTGTGGCACAGAGAAAACATGCCGCTAGCCTTTGCCTGCTGGGTGTCCTTTCCTGCAGTGCCGTGTTAATACCAAGCCCAGATGTCTTCCCGCATATGTGAATAGAATAGGTTTTCTGTCCAGGTGCTGTCATTTGTCTTCTGGTGTCGGGGGATGATGCTCTTCATTCCTGTCTTTCATTCCTTACTTTTTTTTTTTTAGAGACAGAGTCTTACTTTGTTACCCTGGGTAGAGTGCCATGGTGTCACAGCTCACAGCAACCTCCAGCTCTTGGGCTTAGGCGATTCTCTTGCCTCAGCCTCCTGAGGAGCTGGGACTACAGGCGCCCCCAATAGCGCCCGGCTATTTTTTGTTGCAATTTGGCCAGGGCTGGGTTTGAACCCGCCACCCTCGGTATATGGGGCCGCACCCTACTCACTGAGCCACAGGCACCGCCCTCATTCCTCATTTTAGATGCATCTTTTAGTTTTCCTCAGCTTTGCAGCAGGAGGTTTAGCTTATTGATTCATGCATTTGAAGTTCTTAGCAGTGTTTTCTTTTGAAGAACATCATAAGATTTGCAGTATGGTAACTCTTTTATTCTCTTATCAGTTACCAAAAAATTTGTGCAGCACAGTTTTCTTTTAATCCACCCCATCATTTACTACCTTGGGAAGTCATGCAGCTTCTCTGAGTCTTGCTCTTCTCACCTGCAAGTGTAATAAATGTCTGTCCTGCCTATCTACAGGGTGGTTTTTAGTTCAAACCATACAGTGACTGCTAAACATTCTAAACTGCCCTGTATTAGCTGTTAGATGTTATCATCGAATGACCAAACAATCTTGCAGATGGCTTCAAAGTATTACCTCCTCCATCAAAACAATGCTATGTAAAGGATGAGTTGGAAGGGGATTTAGAATTGGCCAACTGGCCAGGACAGTGCTCACGCCTGTAATCCTAACACTCTGGGTGGCTGAGGTGGGAGGATCCCTTGAGGTTAAGAGTTCAAGACCAGCCTGAGCAGGAGTGAGACCCTGTCTCTACTAAAAGTAGAAAAATTAGCTGGTCATTGTGGTATGCACCTATAGACCCACCTACTTGAGAGGCTGAGGCAAGAGGATCACTTAAGCCCAGGAATCTGAGATTGCTGTGAGCTAGACTGATGCCACAGCATTCCAGTCTGGGGCAACAGAGTGAGACTCTAAATAAATAAATATATAAATAAAATTGAATTGGCCAGCTGGGTGGCTAGTTAGGTATAATAGAGATGGCAGCACCTCAAGGCGCTGGAAATGGAAATGGAAATGGGGAAGGCAGATTCCAGAAGCTTCAGTGGGATTTGGAAACCTTTTGGACTTGAGGGTAAAGGGAAAGAAAGAATATTGATCCTGAGTGAGAGGTTGATTGTCAAGTAGCATAGCAGGTTATGAAGGAGGGAAGGATGTGCTTCCCACTGAGGCTGGCTAGGTTTGAGCTGCTGCTGCTACCCCCAGATGGAGATGTTCAAAGGCAGCTTGGAATATGGGCCTGGAGCTCAGAGAGACTGGGTTAGAGACTGGACCAGGGAACACCTCTGCAGTGAGATCATTGAATGAAGCAAGGCGGGGGACTGAGTGTGGAGCTTTGTAGAATGAATGTCTGCACTGAAGGGCCTGCCAGGCAAGAAGAGCCAGCAAAGTCTCTTCCAACCCTGGGTTCCAAAATCTGTGACAGTTCTGTAGAGTATGGGGTGTGGGAGGCATTGGACACTTACTGCTCTAATGAGTTTCTGTATTATAAAAGAGGTCCTTGATAATCATATAAATCACTGGGTGAAGATTAAATCTTCCAAAGTACATAATCTAAAAACGAAAACAAAAAACTGAGCAGGAATTTACATTTTGTTAAATAGCCTATAGCCACATTTAAAGGAATGTTGCTTTTCAAATTCAATACTACCGAGCCAGCAGACACTGCTCTGTTCTTACTGAAAGACTAGCCTACATGAAATAAAACTTTAATACTATTGATTTGTATTAATTTTCTTCTTTTTTCCCTCTTTTTTCTTCTAGATTTTACATTGTGCTATAGGTAAGTGTGGATTTTGCTTCTATGTACAGTGGATTCTGGGGTTTTTTTAAAGTCATAGATGATAGACTTAGTTTGATGCTTATTGAATATTGAAAAATGAAACCATTTAATCATTATATATAAAATTGCTCAAATTGGAATGGCTTTTGGTTTCTGAAGTCATAGGTACTATTTAGGTGTTATCTGTGGGCTCTTTATTAACTATCCAGCTATTTTGTTCTGTCAGTTTAAAAGAGGTGCCTCCCACCTTCTTGGTGTGTAATAGAGACACCAGCACCTCCATGAAAATGTGGCTGGAGGCCTGGTGCTGGGCTGTGTTGGAGAGCCCTCTCCATGGTCACTTAATGGTGTATTCTCTCCCCTTATCTGTAAAATGAGGTGACTGCATGTATTGACCTCCCAGGCAAATATTACATGTATGTAAGGACTGGAAAAGCACAATAGGCATAAAAGGTTAGACGAATATTGTGTAAGAGATTTCTACTGAAAGCAGATCCGATGTGTTTTCTTTTTCTTCTTGTGGGGGAGGAAGAATCATTGAATTTTACTCTGGAACAGAACCATAGCTTCTAATTTAGAGGATAGGCCCCTCTAATAAAATAAGTAGAAATCAATTTTAGGAAGTTGACAGACCCCAGAGAGCCAACTCTTAGTGGTCGCAGTGTGTTTCCGGTTTGTCTCTCCAAGACAGGATTTGAAGTACTTGCTAGTCAGAAGCACTGAAGGGATGAAGCCTTGAGAACTATAAATCTAAACCGCTAAGACCCTGATCAATTTAATCCACAATGGAAGTGGGTGCTTACTGTATTCAGGGTCCTGGGCTTGGTACCAGGGAATTCAAAGATGAGGAGACACACCTACATTTCAGAAGGACACATAGGTGGAGACGCAACTACCCATCCATTGTGGATCTTGCTGAGGCTACTGGGATATCAGGTTCTGTTATTTTTATTTATTTAATTTCATTTTTTTTTTTTGAGACAGAGTGTCAACTCTGTCACCTGGGTAGAGTTCCGTGGCTCATCATAGCTCACAGCAACCTCAGACTACTGGGATCAAGTGATCCTCCTGCCTCAGCCTCTCAAGGCTGGGGCTAGAGACACCCGCCACAAGACCCAGCTAGTTTTTCTATTTTTAGTAGAAATGGGGGTCTCACTTTTGCTTGGGTGGGTCCTCCTGCCTCCGCCTCCCAGAGTGCTAGGATTACAGGTATGAGCCACCACTCCCAGCCTGGTTCTGTCATTTTTAAGGAAGACAAAACATCTTCATTATAAGGAGTGGCTTGCATCTCTGCCATTCTCCCACTTCTTACTTGGGGTCAAGGGACCCTGGAAATGGTTTGCCAATTTCTATATGCATATTTCTAGTTTATTTTTGTAGCGAAGAGAGAATTAATAAATTTTAAGCATAAGCTATCAGTTTCAGGGATACCTTTGGCCAGAGAGTTCTGGAACCACTCAGACTTTCTCCACATGGTTGAGCCTGTGCCTTATTTTCCCCCATTCCTAACCACCTGCTACTTCTCTGTAAAGCTGTTCAATGCACATTTTTAAGTGTCTTAGTCTAGACTTAGTTTAGACTGCCATAACAGAATACCATAGACTGAACAGCTTATAAGGAAAGCAGCAAATGTTTATTTCTCACAGTTCTGGAGGCTGGAAATTCCAAGATCAAGATTTGGTGTCTGGTGAAGGTCTGTTGCTCATGGCTGGCACCTTCTTGCTGTGTTCTCAAATGAGGGAAGGGACAAACACACTCCCCCAGGCCTCTGTCTTTGTTACAGGCATTAATCTCATTCATGACCTAATCCAAAAGACCCCAGCACTTAATACTATTGCATTGGGATTACCTTTCCACATATGTATTTGGGGAAAGTATAGAATGGTACTATTATTTTAATTAATATCTCATATATCAGTACTCTGATACCACCTTGTAAACTTTCTACCCTAGGAAATAAAGCCTCTGACACGTATATTTATTCATTCGCACTAAAAAAATTACCGACTGCCTAGCATGCCTGGATGCAGACATTGTGTTTGGAAGTGGAATAGAGAGGGGAGCAGGCCCAGGCTGCGGTTCAGGGAACCCACAGTCACCTGGCTCCTCCCTGTGAGCTCTTCTGGCAGACCGCACCTCAAGGACTAGACTCCATGTCACACACTGCTCGCAGGGTTTGTTAGCAGGCGTTTCTCCCATCGGACTGTGAGCTTCTTGAGGGCAGACTCTGTTTTATTTATCCCCAGGGCTTAGCATGGTGCCTGACACACCGTAGATGCTTTAAAATTTATTTCCCCAAGGACTTTGTTCTGTCAGTGATTCTCTCTCCTGCATCATCACTCTTTGCTGTCTACCTTTTCCTTCTCAGCTCACAAAATGCTTAGGGTGACCTTTGAGATAGGATCCCATTCTGTCACTCAAGCTGCAGGGCAGTGCCACCATCATCGCTCACTGCAACTTCCTGGGCTCGAGCAATCTCCTCTTACTGGGACTACGGGCACCCACCACCATGCCCGGCTAATTAAAAAAAAAATTGTATAGAGATGCAGTCTGTCTTTGTTGCTGAGGCTGGTCTTGAACTCCTGGCCTCAAGCCATCCTTCCACCTGGGCCTCCCAAAGTGCTAAAATTATAGGCATGAGCCACCGTGCCCATCCTCTTAAAAATACTTTTTAACCTAACCTTTGACCCTGCATTTCCCTCTTACTGCTCCATAATTCCTCTCCATCCCTTTTACCAGATTTGTGGTAGCCTCTTTCTACTTCCTCACTCCCTTTTGTCCCTTAACCCAGCAGTTGGGCTTCTGTCTCCCTTGTACTGTAGAAATTGCCTGCTGCTCTCAAATCAGCAATAGTTTCTGCTAAATTCCGGGGGCACAGTTAGAAGTGACTGGCTTGCTTAGGTACACTGGGCACCTCTGAGGACTCCTTCCTTGAGGGCCCGCTCCTTAGGCTTTCACTGTACTGAGCCCCCTGGTTTTTCTTATCCTCTTTGGTTCTTTTCTTCTTTGGGTACTTCTCTTTATCTCCCTGGCTCTTTTACGATGGGTGTTCCCAGGGTTCTGTCTTAGCTCTTCTGACTAAACACACCTGTGGGTGATCTCTTCCCTCCTCCTGGCAGGAGATACACACGACACCCACTTTTCTAATTCCAGGCTGTACCTATACCCCAGTCTCTAACTCCTCCATTGAACTCCTGGACATTCACTGCAGATGCACATAGGACCTCCTCAGTAGGACCCAGCTCGCTGAACTTGTGCTGCCTCCGTATTCTCTTGGTCGGGGATGCCACCAGCCATTCAGTCACCCATCCTAGACCCGGAGCTCGTGGATGGTGCCCTGAGCCACATCCCTGTAGCCAGGCAGTCATCAAGTTTCGTCAGTTCTATTTCCTAAACATTTCTCATATCTTGTTTTTTTTCATCTGTATTCAGGATCTCAGTGTGTCTCATCTGGACTCTCATGTGGATCTTTCTAAACTTCTAGGCTTATAATAGTAATGATAATAATTAGAGCCACTGTTTCTTGAACATTTCATAAGTTCCAGTTCCAGCATTCATTATCTCATTTACTTCCCACTTTACAAGACTCATGTCTTTGTTCTCACCACAAATAAATATGTGAAGTAATGCATATGTTAGTTTGATTTACTTATTCCACAATCTATACATATGTCAGAGCATCACGTGGCATACCGTGAATATGTGTTTTCTATTTGTTAATTAAAAAGAAGAGGAAGGGCGGCGCCTGTGGCTCAGTGGGTAGGGCGCCAGCCCCATATACCAAGGGTGGCAGGTTCGAACCCAGCCCTGGCCAAATTGCAACAAAAGAATAGCCGGGCGTTGTGGCGGGCGCCTATAGTCCCAGCTACTTGGAAGGCTGAAGCAAGAGAATCACCTAAGCCCAGGAGGTGGAGGTTGCTGTGAGCTATATGATGTCACAGCACTCTACCAAGAGCAATAAAGTGAGACTCTGTCTCTAAAAAAAAAAATTAAAAATAAATAAATAAATAAAAAGAAGAGGAAGAAGGCAGTTGCATGGCTCATGCTTATAATCCTAGCACTCTGGGAGACTGAAGTGGGTATATTGATTACTTGAGCTCAAGAGTTCAAGATCTGCATTAATGTACATAGTTACCATTCAATTAAAAAAAAAAAGAGTTCCAGATCAACCTGAGCAAGAGCAAAACCCTGGCTCTACTAAAAATAGCCAGGTGTGGTGGTGGACACCTGTATTCCCAGCTACTTGGGAGGCTGTGGCAGGAGAATCACTTGAACCCAGGAGTCTGAGGTTGTTGTGAGTTATGACAACACAGCACTCTAACCAGGGTAACAGAGTGAGACTGTGTCTCAAAAAAAAAAAAAGGAAGAAAGGTTTCATATCTTGTCAAGTTCACACAGCTGATAAAGGAGGAGTTGAACCTATGGCTGTGTGGTCCAAGTCCATGCATCACACCACCCCTGAGGGCTTAGGTAACAAGTCATTCTGAGCATGTCACATGCTGCTCATAACCCTCCACTGATTCAAATTTCTTCATGATCAGGACCCTGCCCACCTCTCCCATCTTACTGTGTCTGTTCCCTGCCTCCACCTGTGCTTTAGCAACCCTGACCTTCTCGCAAGCCACCTGTGTACCACCTCCCACACCCTTCCTGCCTCTGTGCCGTGTCCAGGCTTTGCTCTTTGCCTGGAATGAGCAGCCCGGCCCCTTCTGCTGGCTGACTCTTTGCTGTTCTTCCTCCAGTAACTTCCCAGCCACCCACGGGCTACTCACTTTTTGTGTGATACCCTGCACTTCCCTCCGCTGTTGTACTCTCCATGTTGTGTGTGTGGTCTGTCACTGTACCCGTATCCCCTCCAATATCATTGAATACTTTGGGAGTGAGAACTGTTTCTTACTGATCTCTCTATCCTGGCACCTAAGAGTAACTACATAGCACCTAGTGGGAGCTTGGTGAGCATAGGATCATAATCTTAGCAAACTCTAGAGAAATTTCCAAAA